TTTCAATAATTTTATCCAAATTCCTTGAAATTGTTGTTTATTAAATAATAAATTGATTTTGGTTTGCACAACGTAAAATTTTCTGTCAGAAAATGAAAACAAATAATTGGCATTTTGTGCCGCTAACGCTAACTCTTTCGTTTGGTTTTCACGCCGGCGAAAAAGTATGACGCTGACTCGTGACTCTCTGGTTGCGTTTAGACTCTGAGCAGTATTTAATAAACAAACGCCGTTGTAAAAACAATTCATCTACTATGTCTATATTTTGACAAATTCAAAGTAAGCTTTTTATTTTTGAAAAAAAAATGGCAAGCATTTTTTGAGACCATCTATAACTTTCACTCAATGTTGGGAGCCATATTTTTTCTGAGAGAGCTTTCAAAATCTGCATTTTTTCCAGTCGACTTCAACACCATCTATATAGAACAATTGAAATTTTTCTGGAAAATGCATTTTGTCTAGTCTTTGTTATTTTAGGTCTTTGAATGGTGTTAGGTTCGAATTTCACGTGTAGGTGGGACTATGTCATTATTATTTTTTAATTTTAATGTCGGCCACACTTACAATTATTTTCTTAACGAAAGAAATGTGAATTACTCAATAAGTTGTACAAATTATTACAAAATGTTGTTGAATGAAGATTTGAATGTTGTGTTACTGAGTATTACGAGGAAAATTTAGGTGAAACTGGGGTTCGTTCGGTAATCGCGTTTTCGATATGAAGCTCTCACTGTACATCAATAGTTTCGATCCATAATTATCGAATATCAAAATATATAACTGTCGCGAAGTTTGAAATCTCTAGCTTATAAGCTTATTTAGATGTACGTTTTTCTTGTATTTTTACAGATGTTTTGGTAATGTTTCCATTCCATTTCAAAAGTACTTCGTGTATAAAACTTTTAAAATTTTGTGGCAGTATTATTAAAAAGTAATTAATCACAATGTATATTCTTATAAAAATAAAATGTTTTTAGAAGATTGATAGAAAAAAGCTAGTATATATATATAAAGTACCTTCTAACTAATACTAATTTATTATGTGTTTCAGGTACTAGTTTTTATAAATAAGTAACTGAGAACCATAACAAGCCTTAATGTTTTTATATCTGTTGAATAAGTACTGAAATATAAAGCTCTAAAAAAAGTGCCGAATGTGTCCCAGTCTCCTCTTCTTATACCATCAGCTGATATTTTATCAGCAGATTTGTTATTTTTTGTAAAAAAAACATCAAAATTATTCGCAGGCAAATTGATTGTTTTGTGAATTTTATTTTGATTTTGTGTCATTAAACATTAAAATGGATGAAGAAAACTCAAGTATTTATAAACATAATCAATTATGCAATTTTCTCTCTTAAGAATGAAAAATTCGTATTTTACTCTCTGCAAATTCTTACCGAATAAATGTTACTGGAAAAGTAAACGAACGAACTTAATGCCGTAAAATAATATTTAGTTTTGTCTGTTCACTCGATATCTGGTGACAAATCTTACTGGATTTTATCTGTTTACTCCAAAGTACAGAAAAAGAGAGTGAAAACAGAGAGCTAGTTTGAAAGTTCTACACTGAGAACTCACTGAATGTTACTGGATATATTTCTTCTAATAAGTTTTATCTAGCACAATTCGATATATTTCAATCAGCTGTTAATGAAAATTTTTACAAAAATCAAAAATCATTTTGCAAAATCTTATTGGAAGTTGTCTGTTTACTTTTCTCAATATTATTGCAAAAGAGAATAAAACGACTTACTCTCTGAAATTGAACTTATTGAGTAAATGTTACTGGAAAAGGAAGCATAAATAAGGTGTGTCTGTTTACTTTTCCAGTAACATTTATTTGGTAAGTTCTAGTTCAGATAGTAAGCCTTTTTTACTCTCTTTTGCGATAATACTGAGAAAAGTAAACAGACAACATTTAGTAAGTTTTAGCAAATAAACAACTGATTCAAGAAAATATTTGATTTGCGCCAAAATAAACAAACAAAGGACAAACACAATTATTTGTATTGCATTTAATATCAAAAATAAAATGAACAATTATAGCCTTACCTAAAATTAAACTAGCTCGTTCGACGTTTTTCACCACAAAAGTAGAACACATGTATTTATATTATATTTATGTTACCGAAATACGTCGAACGTACAAAATTTCAAGTTGAACAATTTCAACTTTGACAGAACGTATTTTTCATTTTTTCTTTTGTTGAAAACAAAAACAAAACATTCTGGAAATTTGAAATTTCGAATGGAAACTAAAAATATGTGGAATAATTAAATAAATTTTCAATTTTGTTTTGCGGTTTGTATTATTTGCTTGAAGATATAGATTCGACGTATTTGGGTAATACGGGCGTACACAACATTTTGCCATAGTGGGGAAGTTGAATATTTTTGTACGCCCCGTCGGATTTTAGGTAACGTTGTAAAAGAAAAGTTGATTTGGTATGTTCCCGGGAACATTTAAGCATCCTGCATCAATACATTGCCCTCTATCTGGAACTTGTCTAAAAATATATAAGGAATTAGTTTCTAATGTAATTTGCATTACTTTTTTATACAACATAACTTCAAATTGAAATTTGCAAATTAAAAAATGTTTTAAATAATTTTTGTGTTTGGTCATAAAACAGCTGATCCAAAAATGCTGAGTTTGCAAAATCTTACTGAATAAAATTCTTTCAATAAACTCCAGTAAGTTTGTTGTTGTTGAACTGTTAAACTTGCTCTCTCACTTGACTCTCTTTTACTGGATTTTTGTGTAAACAGACAACATTTACGGGTCGATTACGGATGGCAACCATAGTTTAGTTGCGTTGCCAGTTGCCAAATTTGCATTATGGATGGCAACTGTTGTCAACTTCAGTTGCTTCAAATAGAAATTTTCGGCAACCATTTATTTCTGGTTGCTGTTTATAATAACTGAACTTTGTAGGCTTCCCATAATGGTTAATATTACTACAAAAGAACAATTTGATGGAAGCTCACCCAAATGTAGCACGCGGCGTGCGGTCAATCCAAAGCCACTATCGATGATGTTTGGAAGGCCATTTCAGAAGACCTTAACTGCTATGGCCCACCAACACGCATTCCAAATGAATGGCAGAAAGTGACGAACATCTTCTTTTGGGTCCATGATATGTACGTGTGTATCATCAATACATCCGACAACACCCTGGAACTTAGTTTTCGAATAAAAAAATTGTATTCTTCTCTTTTTCCTCCTCCGTTAATTTGGATACAATCAAATTTTTACACAGTTTTTCCTGTATTAGCGGGATTACTTAAGCGAAAATCACCGACATTGTCGGTTGAGCCATGCCAAGGTTGATGTCATTGCTATGGGACTTTTGAAAACTTCCGTCCACAAAAAACATCAGAGCTGCACACATTTTTAAGAGAGAAGGAATTGCTCTTGACCGCCAGGCTTTTCGAAAATCAGGGTTTAAGCAAAGACTAATGAAGATATAGACGACGAACTACTCAAAAAATGCGCATTCAGGTGACTCAAAATAAAAAACTCAAAAATTTTTAAAGACGTTTTTTGGGGAAAATGGCCTATTTTTCTTTAATGTTTTTATTTTAGGATATAGTTTTTGCTTAAAACTAACTATATTTAGTGGCATTCCAAATTAAAAGGTTCAAACATTTAAATAAATCACGATTTAAAATTGAGTAGCGCATTCAGCAGACTCAATTCAGAGAGGATTGGTGAGAGCGTTTCGTCGTCTATATTTTCATTAGTCTATGGTTTAAGGCTTCATCTATGTACACAACGACATCTTTTGGTAGTCGAAAATACGCCTTCAAGCTAATATGAGCAGTTGATTGAACATTTCTCTAAACGTCAGCATCTACTCACAGAACTGATGGTAGTTCTAATAGATTTATCTCTTAAATGCCTTCTAATAAATGAAACACCTTGAACATAATTTGCATCATCAAAAAATAGTTCCACTGAGCTTATCATCACATATTATTAGTTTTTCTGAAATATTTTATTCATTTTTTTGTTTGTTTACAATATTTCTAGTTGTAGAAATGTCAAAACAGTATTATCGACAGCAACTGAGAAAAGTTGATATTCATAAAAGGTGTGTCGGGTTACTTTTCCAGTAACATTTATTCAGTAAGTTCTAGTTCAGAGAGTAAGCCTTTTTTGCTCTCTTTTGCGATAATACTGAAAAAAGTAAACAGACAACATTTAGTAAGATTTAGCAAATAAACAGCTGATTTAAGAAAACATTTGGTTTGCGCCAAAATAAACAACAAACAAAGGACGAACACAATTATTTGTATTGTATTTAATATTAAAAATAAAATGAATATTAAAAGAAAAATTGATCTGGTATGTTCCCCGGGAACATTTAAGCTCCCTGCATCAATGCATTGCCCTCTATCTGGAAAGAAAACAGCTGATCAGAAAATGGCTGAGTTGCAAAATCTTACTGAATAAAATTCTTTCAGTAAACTCTAGCAACTTTGTTGTTGTTCAACTCTCAAACTTGCTCTCTCACTTGACTCTCTTTTACTGGATTTTTGTGTAAACAGACAACATTTAGTAACATTTGGTAACAATTGTTACCAAATATCGAGGTTACAGACAGAGCTAATGTTATGTTTTATTTCAATTGCGTTGCCAGTTGAACTCGCAACTGGAGTTTGGTTGCTTTCCATAATCGACACATTAGTAACATTTGGTAACAATTGTTACCAAATATCGAGTAAACAGACAGAGCTATAGTTAATATTGCTTACGTATATTATTTATAAAACCGATTTCCAAAAGATTTTACTGTAAGACCAACATAATAACAAATTAGAAACAGGTATCCTAATTTTTTTAAGTTTATACTCATTATTGAAAATAATTATTGTTTTTTCTTTATATATAAAGAAAACCGCTTCATTTCAAATTTACAGTATGGACGATTTTTAGTGTTTTATTTCAAGGCATCAAACAAACAATATGTGTATGCAGTATTTTAAGATTTTTACTATTTTCCACTTAACAAAACTTTTTCGACCCGTTCTTGGGCTGTACTCGTCGTGTGGGGACCGCCAGCGTGTCGGGCCTGTGGAAGTCCATTTTTGCGTATGGCGCCCAATTCATATGTAATAACGGGACTAAGACTTTGAGTGGCATGCGCATTTGGCAGTTTAGCTACATTTGCCTTTTCCATAGTTCGCATAACGCATGTATTATCGCACGACAGACATGCCAAGTCCTGAAGAACTTTGACACGTGCTCCAGCTGCAGCATATTCATCGTTCGTTGAATCCACGTACTTTTGCAGGGCATCACGAAGTGACCAAATTTGTGATTCGATTGTCTGCTTGAAAGTTTGCAATATTCCTTCCATGGATGCAAATCCTAAAGTTTGTCGCAATGTTTCTGCAGTCTCATTAAGTTTTTTGTCATTGTCCTTGATCTGTTTGAATGCTTCGCAGAAACGCTTGTCAATGCGACACTGCACTTCGAGCAGCTGATCTAGTGATACTTTTCTCTGCAATTGATTATAGTCAACTTTATCGGCAAGCATAATATCCAATTCAGTTTTATTCACTTTTTCGGCAATGATCGAGTCAATATTTCTTTTAACATTTTCAATGTTGAGGGTGTTATTTGTTAGACGAATGTCCGAACGTTCGAGTTGATCCTTCAAATTGCTAATGTCTAATTTAGCCTCTCGCATTTGCTCCTGCAGCTCTTGAATAAGAACCATGGTTTGTTGGCGTTCTTGATTCACTATTCTTGCAGTGACTTCGTTCACTTTATTGTTGATTGTGCAGAAATCGCCCTTCAATTGCAATAATTGATCAAGGATTTTTCCTGGTGAGTAGCACAAACAACCTTCCAGTTCATATTGACTGGGGTGGTCTGTGGTAACATTGGGTTCGTAGGCCCTTGTACAAGACGTCTGTGCATCCAATATATCCTGCTCCGTTATAGCGTCTCCCAGTTGTAAATCTGATAAATGCCACTCTAACGATTGCGTATCGGGTATATCAAAACGTTGCGAACTCTTAATATTGATATTTTCCTTTTTTGCTATACGAAGTGTCTGCGTTAAGTCTAGAAGTTGATGTACTTTCTGCATATCGGGTTTTTTACTGAGGGTTAGAAATGTTAGAAGTAGTTGTTGTTCAGTGGCCAACATCAATTGATCTCTCATTATTGCCACGGTATCTAATAGATTCTCAAACTCAGCCAGCCTGTTTTCAAACTCTTCTATCTTTGAAGTTTCATAATGTGGAATGTCGGGTTTAACTTGTTCTTTTTCGTGGCGCTCTTCTTCAGTTCTGTTAGATGTTATAGACGCTCGAGGAGTATTATCCATTTTTGGTGTCTCGTCGTCACATGGATCTTCCACAATTTCTTCTAGTGGAGTAGTTTCCCCCTGAACACCAATCTCGTCAACATTTTGATTACCTTGATCGTCATCCTGTCTAAGCTTTGTTATAGATGCTTTATCTACATCTATAGATGCTTTATCTACATCTGTTACCGATCCATTATTATCCAAATCATTTTCATTCAGATCTGTTGGGTCAGATCCTCCTTCGGCTCGAAAACTACAATTGTATAATTTCTTAAGATCTTCTGAAATTAGTACATAAATGAAATATAATTTTTAAAAATGTGACCTCCAAAGTATAGACATGCTTACGATTGGATGCCTTGGTCGACGTAGAACACAAAATTAAGGTCTCGTACTTGGAATATTCAATGGGATCATCGAGGATATTCAATTTCTCGGCTATGCAATTAAGAAGACAATGTAGAGCATAGAAATTCACATGTCCCGGTTCCGGTGACCCAATTGCCATGTCAATTAGTTGGCGAAATTTAACAGTTGTCATTTTATGTTTCTAGTTCCAATGATTAAATAAAGCCTTTTATATATAAATATAAATCAATTAACAGATTCTCGACAAAAATTTAATAAAAACGAAAATAAGTCTAAAATTGCTTGAAATTTTTCAAATTGACAGGAATAAGAAAAGTTTTATTAGGTGGTACCTATGATATTCAGGTCAAGGTCTATATAATAGGTTGTCCAGTAAGGACAGCTGATGTCTACATATTTTGTTAAACTATGTTGTTTTGTTTTGAATTTCAATAAAACACAATAGCTTGGCTTAATAATTTCCAAATAGGATTTTTGCTCCAGATACAACTTTTGATAATAGATGTAACAACTGGGGAACCTTTACTTTTTTAAATTTGAGTACAGATATAGGTTCCTCACATCGTGCATCTTTCACGGACTGCACTTAAAAGTTTTTATTGCAAGACAAGCCTTCAATAAAAATAATGAAAAAATGAAAATTTTTGAACGATTGAAAACATTGAGAAAAAAAAGATTGAAGAAAAAAAACATCGAGAAAAAAATAAACACTACACTCTAGTGACTACAGCCAGGAGGTTATAATTTGCGCTCATTTAGTGGCGACAACTATTCATTTGATTAGAAGTGTTTAATTTTATTTGTTTATCTATTTCACTTTTTATTAATTTATTACTTCTAATTCTCATTCAGACTAATGTTGGAGTCATACCGGTAAGACGCAGATGTTCTCCGAAGTGCAGAACTTTTGACGTTTTTGGAAACCGCAGCTCAATAAGCTCAGTACAAGCTGTCGCATCAGTCTTTCGATTGCAGATTTATATTTAAAGTACCTTAGATATTTATTCATTGCATCTGGAAACATACAAATTGATCTCATATTTCCGCCGACATGATATATACCTTATCGAAAAATAAAATGAGAAATCTCATGTTATTGCTCATTTCACATAATCTAAAGCCATAATAGAGATATTATCAACAGTGTCCGTGAGTCAGATTGAGAAACTGATCCGAATCGGTATTTTCTTAGTTTTGCTATTTACTGCTATTTTATTTAATTGTCAGCACTTCATGCTGACAGTAACCACCTTGTGGACATTTATAAAAGATGTATAAATTCAGCTAATCTGCACGCTATACGGTTTCGTGTGTAAATACTGCCTCTGTACGTACGTACTTTGCGGTATGTATGTATCACTTATAAAATCGTCGCCTATAAATCTGACGAAGATCTGCAGATAAGACTGGCTAATAAAGATTTTGGTGTGATAACAAAATAAAGCTCTTTCTTAATTTCACATAGAAATCCGTCAGCCACTTCTGTGAACAGTTGATTCGACGCCTTAGCGACTTCGCACCTCTTAACGATGTCAACGGAAAGCGTATTTTTGGTTCCAATTTATTCATATTAGATGTTGCCTGTTTGAATATAAACGATAAAAATCAATTGTAATAAATTTGTGGGCAACTGCGGGGGAAACGTCTAACGAAAATGATCATCACCAGTGACTTTTTTAAAGTAGAATATAAACGTCAGTTGTTGGCGTCATTGAGCGGTCTGTAGAGTTAATATTGGATTGAAAGTGAAATTGGAAATTTATACTGAGCTCTTATAATTATTCAATAGTAACTATGATATCATTGGCTCACGGAATAGGACTGGGCTGGTTATCACCCATGCTGCCCAAATTACAATCGTCTACGGATACCCCAATTGATTTCACTGTCAACGTCGACGAGTCATCGTGGATCGGAGCATTAATAAGCGTAGGCGGAGTGATAGGAAATATTAGTTTTCTTTTAATATTCGATCGTTGGGGACGTAAGGCAGCAATATATGGATTAGCATTTCCACACATGGTATGTACGAAAAACTGAAAAGTTCCAAAATGTGTAAGATTTTAAATCAACCAAATATTCAGTGCCTGTGGATTCTGTTTTACTTTGCTCAATCTGTTGAATATTTATATGCGGCACGAATATGTGGTGGTTTAACTGGAGGAGGAATATTTATAGTCATACCCATATTTATTGGTGAAATTGCAGATCCATCGTAAGTAAAAAATCATATAACATATTTGTTAATTGGGATTGTCGCCTGGACACCGATGCATTAGTATATCAAAATAAAAGCATTTCCTTTTTTCAAAGAATAATGTTTTTTCCTTGCGAAAATTGGATAATACTGAGAAAAGTAACGAGACAACGCCCATTAAGATTTTGCAAAATATTTCGTAATATCATTTAAAATGCTTGAAATGTTCCTTTTTAGACTTATTGAGGGATAAATCATAGTTATGTTCGATGTATTGCATTTTCATAAACCGATAATGCAAATAATTTTACAGATATGCAGTTAATAATAAAAAATAAATAATTTCCTTTGAATTTAAAACAAACATATTTAATGGCACATGTGTTTTTCGTTTTGCTATACACTTTAGACATTAATACAAAAAAGTACACCTTATGTTTTTTAATAATAATCTTTGAATACTTTTTAAAATAGCATCCGAGGAAGACTTACATCTATATTCTCACTTTCCTTGAATTTGGGAATACTCGTTGGTTTCATAGTGTCTTCATACGTAGACTATCACATTATTCCGCTGTTGGTTTTGCCGCTACCATGTCTGTACTTACTAGCTGCCACATATTTTCCCGATACTCCTCAATATCTACTACGAAAAGGTATGCATACGGAGGCTTTCAAATCGTTTGTCTTCTACAAAAATATCGCATGCCATAAAGAAACAGCCATTAAAGCTGAAACACAAAGACAGTTTGAGGACTTAAAATTGTTAATTACACATCAGCAGAATCAGAGTGCAAATGTAAGCTGCAGTGACTTTCGTATGTATACCGATGTGTTAATTTGCATTTTGTATAGCATTTTATTTTTATTGCTCTATTATGCAGTTAACAAGAGGTCACTTTTCGCCATTTGTTCGGGTGTTGTTTTAATGCTGCTGAATATGTTTTGTGGTTCCTTTGCCCTGGTGAATTACATGTCCAGTATATTTGCCGCAATTAAAAGTGAGCTACACCCCGATATCAATACCATAATTGTCGGTGTGGTACAAGTTATTGGGACATATACGGCAACGATTCTAGTCGACCGATATGGACGCAAGGTGTTAATGATTGTATCAACTTCTGGTATGGGAATTGGCCTGGCAGCATTTGGAATTTATGCTTTCTTTGCTGAGGAAACTGACGTCGATCTCTCTGTATACAGTCATTGGTTGCCATTATTATTAATGGGTTTTATTATATTTATAGCTAATGTCGGAATCCTATCTGTAACAGTAGTTGTTCTGGTCGAAATATTACCAACAAAGGTAAGCTTAGAAAGAGCATGAAATGTATTTTTCATAATTACAATTTTCTTGTTTCTCTTCAGATCCGATCAATTGCATCCTCATTTTGTCTGGCCCTTCTAAGCTTGTTTGCATTTATAGTTCTGCGCATATTTCCACTTTCGATGCACTACTTTGGTTTATCAGCCACAATGTGGTTTTGTGCCACCGTATGTGCTTTTGGTTTATTTTATATTTCTCTATTCTTGGAGGAAACAAAAGGGAAATCAATGGATGCGAATTAGAAGAGATGCCCATATGTGAATATAAATTAGTAAAAAAGATTTTTTTTTGTAAATATACAATCGGCCTTTTCCATCTCTGGAAGAAGAGATAACTTTTAAGAAAATCATATCTTGTAAACGTATTATTTGAATTAAAAGTCTTTAATTAATTGGTAAACATAAGAAAGCTCCTTAGATTAATTTCTTTTTTAATGTAAATTACTCAAACATATGATTATTATTTGAGTTTTGTCAGTAACTTGAACCGTACGTTTTGTTCCATTCCACGTATTGGTCTAAATCATCGGGCGAAACGCTAGGTCGAATTTTGTTGAATGCTATAAGAAAATCATTTTTATTAACTGCTCGCAACTGCAATTAGAAATGTACAAACATTTTTAAAATAGCATTAAGAAATAAACTTGTTACACTTACATTATTCTTGTCAAATGATAGGATGAAATCCTGGGGTACAGAACGTAATGGTTCCATAGATGCTTCACGGCATAAGCTTTCCATATCGGCTCCAGAGTATCCATTTGATAAACGACCAATTTCTTCCAAGTCTTGTACGGTCAGGACGTTGTCGACAGTTTTCAGCAAATTTTTGAGTATATCAATGCGAGCATTCAATTCCGGTAGGGGAACATAGAGACGTTTAATAAACCGCCGGCGTACAGCGTCATCTAGTTCTTGGGGCCTGTTCGTAGCGCCAACTATTAAAACGCGATCATCATCTGATGTAGCCGCTCCATCCAGTCTCACTAGAAATTCAGTCTGAAAAGCATATTAAAGGGAACGAATAAATGTGCTGTTTTTGAAACATGTTTGCATAAAACTATCCAGCGGTTATTTAGAGGAAGTGATGCAAATGTGGTATAGGTTGGTAATGTGGTATAGTCACTTTTTTTGTAAACTGAAAATTTTACAATAACTGAAACATGTTCTATAGTTTGCTGTTCTCAAAAAAATAAGATAGCAATGACCTGTTTAATTTATTTAAATCACGTTGAGAATCAGTACCAAAAATAAATTTTTTCATAAAATTTACTTTTTTTCGGTTGAAGTTTAAAAATAATTTTTTGTTTTACGGATGTAATTTAATCGTTATTACTAAAGCATTAAAATAATTAGTATGAACTAAAAATCAAATAATATGCGCGATTGCACCACATAATCACCAATTTAGGAAAAAAACTAGACATTTCTTCAGTAAACACAAGTGTAGGTAATGTGGTATATCTTGATTCTGCATGAAAAAGGCCAGCACTAGACAAAATCTCATTGCTATGTGAAACTTTCGTACTCTACGAGAGTCTACCATGAATCACAAGTGTGAAAAACAAAGGCTATGAGTTTTAACAACTTTTCCATACAAAAATTAAATATTGCCATGTGTAGACTTTATTATATAATAAAAATTAAAGTTGCACTCAACGTATCCGTTAAAAATCTTAACATACATAAATCTCGATCTAATTCGCATACATTAAAAACAATAAATTATATAAGATATCAATTGGAAGTGAAAATTATACTATACCACATTAAAATCATGTGGTATACCACATTACCTGCACTTTTTTTAAATCACTTTTTATGGGATTTCAAATATTTTCTCAAATATCTCTTAAATTGTTAGAATAATATTATTTTCAAATTGATACATGGAAAGACAACACATGTAGCATGTTATGTGTAAAATTTCAATTTAATCGGATAAAAAATAAAAAATTGGCAATCTAAAAACAAATGGGTATACCACATTTGCATCACCTCCTATAAATGGTGCTCTTATTTTAATGTTAATTCAAAACTTGTTTTTTTTTGCGATTGGAAAGAATCGACATGACTCAAAACTAAAATACATATAAAAAATTACAAAGGGATATGATTAATTGATACATACATACATACCTTGAGGCGTCGAGTACCTTCATTCTCATTGTCAGAACGCTTTGAGAGTAGAGAGTCAATTTCGTCTATGAAAATAACCTGTATTGTAAAAAGAATGTTTTATTAATTTATAATAAAATTAATTAAATTGACGCTTCAGAGAAATTTAAATAAATTAAAAACAATATGTAGTAGTTTTTTTTTAATCGGTCAGTACCATCATATGGAAGCACTTTAAAAAACAAGATTTTTGTGTTTGAGGAATAATTTCTGGGAATAATTTCATTGAATCTTCTGCTATTGGGCTCTTTTTTCCGGGGAAATACTCAATTTAAATTTATTTGCGCGATATTTATGATAGTTACATTAATGTGTGCAAATAAAAATAACTTGGCGTGTAATGTGGACCAGTATGTGCGGGTAATGAGTATCAGTAAGTTAAAGGTAGGTTGTGGTTTGGTTGTGATAGATTTAAATTTATTACACTCTTGTGTAACAATGAATGCAAAAATATATGGATTCATATTTTGGAATATCCCCCATTAAAGGGTACCACCCCATTTGCGGTATTTTGAAGGTCCTTGCTTCATTATCCAACCGAAGCACCTGTAATTTCGCATATCGAGTTTTCAGGGATAGAATAGCTCGAACTCGTCCTCATGAAAAGGTCCCACTTTTTTATAGTGGTCCACATTACCCGACATTGAATATTTTTATTTAAAAATAATTATCGGCTTCAAAAATTAATAAAAATTAAAAATCGCCTATTGTAATTACAGCTAAACGTTTATTTTTGTTAAAGAAAACAAGAAAACCACATAACTTCTTTATATTCGAGAAAAACAAAGTGTTCGACTATTTTGCAAAAACGTTCGACTATTGTGCCAAAAAATGTTCAAATCACACTTTTACAATCAGAGCTACATTTTCTACTACTACATTTTCAACATTGCAATTATTTATTAAAAACCAATTTTGATGTTTGTTTTCACTAATAAGGAAAATATTTATCAAGGCCGCATTGACATATTTCAAGCACTTTCTTATATATGGGGGTGGTCCACATTACCCGATGTTACTCTAATACCAATTCAAAATGATAAAAAAATCTAATATATTTTTATAAGATTTTATTTTAGAGTAACTGTGATGTAAAGTGAATTCTATAAATAGGACATTAAATTTATATTTGATCTCAATTGAAAACTAAATAAAAAGATATTGAAATAAAATTAAAAATACAACGTAAATTAATATTCTTAATACTTACTGATGGTTGTCTAGCAACTGCAACCGCGAAAAGTGTTCGCACCATTTTTTCGCCTTCACCCATCCACTTAGAGGTTAATGTTGCCGAACTGATGCTAAAGAATGTTGATTTGGATTGTGATGCTATACACTTGCCAATTAATGTTTTCCCCGTTCCCGGAGGCCCAAATAGTAAAATGCCCCTTGGTGGTCTACGCAAGCCAGTGAATATATCTGGTCGTAGAAGAGGATAAACTACAGCTTCCTTGATGATCGATTTAGCATATTCTAAACCAGCAATTTCAATCCAATCTATAAAAGAAAACTCATTGAATGTATAAGAAGGATGTATAAATCAACACACAACACGTACCAACAGGCTTAAATTTGTGCATGATTTCGTTATTTATGATTTCCACCATTTTGGGATCAATATTCTTTAAGGCTGTATGAGATAAATCTATATCGCCATTTATATTTTCATCAGAATTTGATTCAGGAAAATTGTTCGCGGATGTACTGCAAATACATTTGATACAAAATATCAATATACCTAAATTTACAGCTATTATTAAAGGGACCACCCACTATTCACGGTTTAAAAAATGGATTTTTTTAATTTGAAAATATAGCCGATTTATTGTCAGTATTAAGCGACGGCAAGGGTGCTTCTCCAACTTTAAATGAGTTTTTTTTTTCGAAACAGTGGGTTTACGAATGGCGGCCACGATAACTCAAAAACTATTAATCGAATCCGTTCCAAACTAGGACAAATGTAATCGAACTATATCATTCTTATGTTCAAACTTGGTTTGAGGTCGAAAATAGTCCAAAACACAAATTACATGGGTCCGTTATTTTGTTTATTTAAGTGCAAAGTTAGCTCATACCTGAGCCAGACATGCATCTTCGAATCTCGTTTGGTTTTTCTCAATCAATTTTCTTCCCCTCTAAGTCTTCAGTTACTTATATGCAAAGATACAAGTGGGATGAAAATTGTTGAAATTTTAAATAGAGAATGTGGGGTCCCCTTAACTGTTAATTTAAATTACGAATATGATAATAATGAGAGTTAGTTATCTGTCAGAGATATTTCAAGGAATATTTTACCTCTTTGTGCGGACTGGTGGTATAAAGCTCTTTTTATTTGTATTGGATATGCGACCAAGTGATCCAAGTTTTTTCTTTGTTGCGGAAAAAGAAAAATCTGCCGTTTGAATATTTTCTTCGGGTTTTCCACATGTGTTCTCACAATTATCCGAAGACTGCGGACAAAAATTAAAATTAATTTACATAATAGATACACATTTAAAAAATTACTTTCATGTTTTGTAGTGCAAGTACTTCCCGTGCTGTATAGAATTTGTTGGGATCTCGATTGGTTTTAACTTTCAGAAAATTATCGATTGTATTACGCGGTCCCTCTGCACGAACGTTGTTGTTCTGTATAATGTCTTGATTATCCCCAATGGGCTCGAACATAATTTCGGTATCGCTATCTGGAGTGACATCGATTTCATCCAAATTTGGAAAAACAAGTTTATTTCTTCCCACACTCGAATTTGTCATCACAGACTGTGAATACGTTTTCATTTGATTGTCCGCAATGTGGTTAGGTACATTGTAAACATATTCCAAAATATCACCTGCAATTTCTTCGAATTCGTTGGCCAGGATGGTACATTGACGCCAAGCTGTTAGATTCATTTCATTATCTTTCAAATAACCCTCTAAGCGTTGCATTTTTAATCTATAAACAGAAATTTCAATATTTATAAGAAAACAGCTAAGTATTAGGAAATAATGCTGCTAATGAGATATTTAAATCCACGTGCGAACAAATTTGCATTTTCTTTCCTTATCGGGCATAATCTATTTAAAAACATATAGTAAGTAAATTTAGCCTCCTTTAAGATTTTGTTGATGAATTAGAAAACAATTTAATGTTTAAAGCTACTTTTATTGTAAGTTATCAAGATTCAATATTATTTCGAATCTTGATAACTTACAATAAGATTAATCAAAAATTAATTTAATATAATTTCCTGAGTTATTTTTATTTTTCCGAAAATCCACGTAATAACAAAATATATCTTGAAAGAGCGTTTGTATGTCGTTTTCAGATATGTCTCCCACAACTGTTAAGCTATTTTAGAAGTTAGTATTATTAATGATTTTCCTTGATACTGAAGAACTAATTGGATTACAAAAGTTGTAAATTTTGCGAGTGTTTTTTACGAAGAATACTGAAAGAATTAAATATGGGTGTGATAATCCATTTGGAAATATCGGTCATATTTAATTTAGAAACCCCCATGAAAATAACAAATGCAAAAAATTATAGTTATAAATACATCATTTATTAAAAGTAATTATATTTATTAAATTTTAAATACAAAAATATAATCTTTTTATTTTGTAATATTAGGATTGCTGCGACAATCCAATATGTAGATCACTAAATGTAATTCTTGACCGCTTCTTGTATAAATATTATCATTTCGGGCAACTTCGCTGTCAGTCTTAAAATTATGAAATATATGCATAGACGCTAAAATGCTTTAAGCACAAATTGAATATGTACACACAGAAAAAGTTTCACTCATCTAAAAAACTTCATGTGCTGTTTTGAGTTGGTTGATGGTGTCGATGTTATAATGCCATTATGGAGTGGGTGGTGCGGTCGATGGTGGTTTTTGCTTGAAGTGTCGTTGCACTGCTTTAACATTCGATCAATTGTGGGTAAGTGTGACATCTTTTCTCTAACCTGTAAAGGCAGATCGTCATGGGGACCAAAGTGAGTGGAAACGCCACTACTGTGGGTATATGTAATGCCACCACCTTGAGACGATGGTATCACCGAAATAATCGACTGATCTTGAAATTGGATTTGGACAACGCCATGCGAAAGTTCCGTTGCTATGCCTATTCCAGGAATATTGACACGTTTGATGGGCAAATTTGGTTGAGAGGCAATGAACTGTTGTTGTTGTTCTTTACTTGAGCCCTCGAAATCCATATTATGATTCGTACTCACAGAGAAGTTAATGGAGGAAACCTGATTCGATTTTGGTGTCGATGAAAACAGAATGTTATTGGTGTCTCGTTTGTTTGTAGTAACATGTTGTGCTTGCAAATCAGTTGTGGGTCTCCGACCAATAACGACGGGGAAGCAACTATGGCCTCCTGGTAACTCTGCCAACTCCAACGCTTTGCTTATTGCTTTACAATGGCTGAGGCAAGCCTGTTGGTGATCAATTAGTGACTGCGTATCCTCTGCATGCGTAAGTTGTCGACCATGTTTGTCATACACCTTTATGCCTTCGCCAGGAGATTTTGTCACTTTGGAACCATCATAAAATACCGTTTCAAAGTCTTCTAAGCTTTCCATCAACGCAAACTTGGCACGACTGCTGTAGTATGTTATCTTCGGTGTCTTGCTTTTTACCAGATTAACAAAACGAGCAGCATAGGCATATTTTTTGTGATGTTTGGCAGGTAAGTTGTCGTATGAAAAAATGCAATTGGAGGAAGTTGGCGGTGGTTCTGGGGCATGGTCACTGACCGGTAGTCCACGACCCGAATCGGGTTGATAAACCATTATACTTTGGCCATCTCCCGATATCCAACATATGTCAGTTATGCGATCTGCGTTGTACTTGGCCCTGTACTTGATGAATTCTATTACGACCTCTCCTCGTTTCAAAATACTCATTATTGCGTTTTTGGTCTTGTACCGCGTGGGCTGTAGCCGTGTTGTATTTAGTGGTGGCACTGTAAGAGGACTTTCGGGATCGCTGTTTTTAGGTGTGAACGAAGGTTGACTTGAATAATTACTTGATATTCCGTACGACACTTGCATGTTGGGTATGTTGGTCGTTACTGGTCTTGGCCGGGCCCAATCCCAATTCTCGTCACCACAAGGAGCAAGTCCCATATTATCCACGTTTCCGTTTGCATTCCTGTGTGCTCCTAGTTGATTCTGAAAATCCACTGCCGTTAATGGCTTTGAGTTATAGTGGTGGCTTCCAAATTGATGTTTTTCCGACACATTAGACTTCGGAAACGACGGACACGAATTTGATGCATTGCTTGATGAAAATGTTATTATACCACTGTCGCAACTGAACTGACTACGGGTGCTATCCACGTCTAATCTTTTCTCGGTGCTTGTGACAGCGAGCTCTTTACTAAAACGCAACATAAATGGGTGTTTTAGAACTTGTTGAAGTGTTATTCTTTCGTCCGGCTTCTTCCTGAGGAGCTGTTGAATTAAATCTTTTGCATCGAATGATATATGCGACGGAATATGATAGTCGGACATAACAACTCTATTTAAAGTGGCCTGCACTGCATCGGTATCAAATGGCGGCTGTCCCACCAGCAACGTATAGAACATACATCCAAGACCCCAAACATCCGCTGGTAGACCGTGTGAGGATCGTGACACTACTTCTGGTGAAATGAAATTCGGTGTACCACACATGGTTACATGTCGCTCGTTGGGCTGCTTCAATTGTGTGGCCAATCCGAAGTCGGCTATTTTTATGTGCATATCTTTTGAAAGCAACAGATTTGACAACGATATATCACGATGCATTATATTGTGGGAGTGCAAGTAAAGAAGACCAGCCACAACCTGCTTTAAGATAGCTGCTGCCTCCGGCTCAGTCATGGGCCGGCACATTATCGACTTCATGTAACGTTGTAGCTCTCCATTATGGGCCAATTCCAGCACCAAATACACATAACACTCGTCTTGAAAAAACGTGTACAGTTCCAACACCGACGGATGTTTGAGACGTGAGTGTATTTCCACCTCTTGGCGCACTCGATCAGCCATGGCAGCACCATGAATTAGTTTCTTGTCAATCATTTTGATGGCGACATACTGGTTGCTCCGGAGGCATCTTGCTTTGTAAACACTCGCAAATCCTCCTTTGCCCAATAAATGCAGGACTTCATATTCGTTGATACTCTCTCCCCAATTGCTTTGAACGTTCATCCTTCTTATTGTGTTTGTGTTTTAATGTGCGTGCGTCACAAACAACGCCACTTTTTCAACGAAGGAATTTGTAAAAACAAATATATGTTTGTTAAAGCGATGATCAAATATATAAATATATTGTTATTTTTGATTGGCACAGAAAAACTATTTATGCAGGTTGACCATAATACACAATTTTATCAATGAATTTGTTTTTATAAATATTTGTTTTCGTTTGACTTTTACCTTTTTATCGTAATTCAATTTAGCGGCTGGCAGTGACGCCATTAATTTTCATTCAACCGAACTGAAACAAAAGCGTTCCAATTTATACGAATGAAGAAAACTGTCAACAAAACTGAAAGCAGATCGAAATGTCCGTTGTGTTTACGAATTGGATTTGTACAAAACTGAAAATCAGCTGATGAAGTGTTCTCAAACCATATACAAATTTTGTACTGGATGTTTTCTCCAAACAATTGTATGGAGTGAGTTGATTTAACATAAAAATTGTTATTCGGTATGCTTGATAATCCAAGAATTTGTAAGTAGTACTTTTATCTCTCTCATTGGTAAATTGAGAGAAATTAGAGTTATAGTACGTTTAGCACTATGAATTTCGTTGTGCTCCGGAACAGTAACACTAAAATATTTTTTAACGTTTGTGTACAGGAACACTAACGCTAATTTTTTTTTAGTGTTTGTGTTCCTGGTACGGTGCACTACGATAGTGTTCCGTTTATTTGCGAACACTGATCATAATAGCTCCATGCAAAATTTGTGGAAATGTTAACATGCTTCATAATATTTTTTGAGAAAATGTCGCTGATTTTCACGATTTTTACAAGTTTTGCAACTTTTTACTCGAAACCCGTTCCTGAACCCACAAAACTTGTAAAACATTGAACACAAAACAAAATGGCGTTCTCTTTGTAAACTTTTTACTCGAGAAATTTGAACGAGTAAAACGACATGTACATTAGAACCTTTTACCGGGTTAACCTACTTTATGAAGATTTTTTTGACATATATGCAAAAGAATTGACAATTGAAACCCACTGGGTTAACGAAATCCGGTTAAATGTAAACGTACTATAAAAATAGTAAAAAGGAATGCCAACTTCTGATTGGCTGTTATGTTGATTTTGAAGTTTTGCCTTCTAATTTTGGCATATTTACTAGATTTTCGTTCCCGAACTTTTTAAGTTATTTCGTACTCTGAGAGCAATTTTGATATGTTTCCCTTTGTCTTGATTTAGATTAGGCGAGTTTACTTGCGGCAATTCTTATCGTTCTCTTTTGAACTTGCTTCATGCGTCTATACAAGGCAATTCGGTTTAAAAAACATTTTTTTTTATTGCTTGCAAATAGTTTTTTCACATTTAAATAAATATAAAATGTCAAAAAATACGAAATACACAAAACGAATTGCCAGACAATTGTCGGTACGAGCAATTTTTTTCCATTTCCATTCCCCTTGCCCCTCTCTCCAACAAACAAAGATTTGCCGCAAGTAAACTCGCCTAATCTAAATTGGGAGTTTTAATAGCTTTAGTATTAAAAAAGTACTGGAACAGACCAATTAATTATTATAATCATTTAAAATAAAATATAAGGTACACTTTCGTATTTTGGTTCCTACCTGCGGCAATGTTTTCCAAGTGGGGCTTTACACTGTTGGTCATGAGAGCTTTTTTCTCTCTCATTGGACCATTGACAGAGGGCGGCGAAGAAACAAGCTTCCGGTCATTACGGAGCAGCAGCGACTGATAAGGAAAGCAAACTAGTAACGAAGTACTAATTGGTAGTGAAGCTAGGGTTCTAATAGGATGACTTACAAAATGTATCAATGATATGTTTGTATAAAATAATACTACGGTATTTACACTTCGTATACATGCAAAGTTACCTAACATTGCAACTATGAACTTTGCAAACATTTACAATACAAAATGAATGTGATGCAATGGCTCTGTCTGTTTACTCGATATTTGGTAACAATTGTTACCAAATGTTACTAAATGTTGTCTGTTTACCCAAAAATCCAGTAAAAGAGAGTCAAGTGAGAGAGCAAGTTTGACAGTTAAACAACAACAAACTTACTGGAGTTTACTGGAAGAATTTTATGCAGTAAGTTTTGCAAACTCAGCCATTTTTGGATCAGCTGTTTTATGATCAAACACTAAAATTATTCAAAACATTTTATTTTTTAATTTGCAAAGTTCAATTTGAAGAAAATTCGTAAGTAATGCAAATTTTCATTAAATTATAAACTAATTCCTTATATTTTTAGGCAAGTTCCAGAAAAAGGGAAATGTATTGATGGAGGAAGCTTAAAAATTCCCGGGGAACATACCAAATCAATTTTTCTTTTGTTGTTTATTTTATTTTTAATATTAATAAATGTGTTCGTCCTTTGTTTGTTTACTTTGGCGCAAATAAAAATGTTTTCTTGAATCAGCTGTTTATTTGCTGAATCTTACTAAATGTTGTCTGTTTACTTTTCTCAGTATTATCGCAAAAAAGAGTAAAAACGGCTTGCTCTCTGATCTAGAACTTATGGTGTTTTTACACGATATGTATTTTACATATGTGCTGTCACTTATTTCATCCATATGTAATTCCTTATGTGTGTCAAAATTAGCGGCGTACACAAAACATTTATTTTTGTGTTCAAATCGGCATATGTATTTCACATATCACATAACCTATAAACAAAAAAATCACTTTTATTTTTTCTTAAATCATCTTTTTTTATTAAACAGCTACAAACGAAATAATAATTTGTAATTGTTCCCTTTTCATCCTTTTCTTCGTCTTGCAATTGAAATATTTTCTTCCAACAATGTGTTTCATTCAAACAGCTGATTTACTATGTTTCACATGCGAAAATAGAGCGCGTCCTATTCGGAAAAAATACATATGTAATTGCATATTGTTTTGACACATTGAAATTTCCGTATGTTTCACATGACGAGTTCGATTTCCATATGCAAAAAAGTGACAGCACATATGTAAAATACATATCGTGTAAAAACACCATTACTGAGTAAATGTTACTGGAAATGTAACCAGACACACATAATGTATCACTAACAAAACAGCTGTAAAAAATTATTTGCAATATTTTTGTAATTTATCAGATTCTCCGAAAAAATCCGGGCAAACTTCGATATGTTTATAAAAGTTAAATAAAAAAATGTATTTTAATACTGCTCTAACAATTACAAAAAATATATCTTTTCAATTGACATATTAGTTCCGTTCCAGAACCTAAAAGATTCTACTCATTTTACATGTCTTGCAACTTTTTACTCGAAAACCGTTCTCCAACCCACAAAACTGGTAAAACATTGACTCAAATTTAAGAGAGCACAAAACAAAATGGCGTTCTCTTTGTAAACTTTTTACTCGAGAAATTTGGTCGAGTAAAAATGGTAAACAGGAATGCCTACTTCTTTCTGATTGGCTGTTATGTCATAGACTAATGAAAATATAGACGACGAAATTCTCTCACCAGTCCTCTCTGATTTGAGTCTGCAGAATGCGCTATTCAATTTTAAATGCTGATTTACTTAAATATTTGAACATTTTAATTTGGAATGCCACTAAACATAGTTAGTTTTAAGCAAAAACTATATTCTCTGATAAAAACATTAAAGAAAACTACGCTATTTTCCCAAAAAAACGTCTTTAAAATTTTTTGAGTTTTTTGTTTTGAGTCACTTGGCCGCGCATTTTTTGAGTATTTCGTCGTCTATATTTTCATTAGTCTATGGTTATGTTGATTTTGAAGTATTGCCATCTTTTACTAGATAGTTTCATTCCAGAACCCAAGGTGTATTTAATAAGGTGTAAGTGACAATCATATGGTTTCAAACTTTTTTCTTTATTGTTTGTAAAGTAAATTGTCAAAAACATTTTCAATATTATATTTCGATTTCATAAATGGTCTTTAAATTTATGATTTTTTAATAATAAAAATTCAAGAAAACTACATTCGCAGAGCCGGAGGGAAAGTTAAATCAGTTATAACACCGTTCGCCGATTAGTCCACATATTTTATGTTATGTATGGAAATCTGTCCATTCATAAAATCGAGGAGATTATGTTAGCCTATATTGGAATCGGCCCCTTAGTGCTTGTCACAATCCTCGGCGGAGGTTAAATACGACTATGGAAAGATTTTATACGGTCAACACAATTTCCATGATTTAGTCTTTGAATTAATCGCGACCAGGTCGTAAACTTTATTTTTCACTGACCTAAAACCGCCAATAACCCAAGAATACACAAGTTCATTAATTATTCCTCAAATAATAGTTCTTGGCAAAAATAAATTAATAATTGTTTTTGTTTATTTTTGTCAAAAACTTATTGTCAGCATGACAATTTAATTTCTATAACAACAATGTTGTTTTTGTAAAATATTTGTTGTTGTATCTGATGCATACACCTTATTAAATACACCTTGCCAGAACCTAAAAAAATCGACTAATTTTACAAGTTTTTCATAATTTTACTCGAAACCCGTTCCTGAACCGACAAAACATTGAATCAAATTTAAGAGAGCACAAAACAAATTGGCTTTCTCTTTGTAAACTTTTTACTCGAGAAATTTGGCCGACTAAAAATTTTAAACAGGAATGCCTACTTCTGATTGGCTGTTATGTTGATTTTGAAGTATTGTCATTTAATTTTGAAATACATACTAGATTTGCGTTCCCGAACTTTTCAAATTATTTTGTACTCTGAGAGCGATTTTGAAATGTTTTCCTTTTACTAGCTTTACTATTAAAAAAGTACTGGAACAAACCAATTAATATGTTTACAAAAATTGTGCTTATGCGAATCTGCCATTAACTTTCTCTGGATATGTCATTTTGTGTTCTCAAACAAACCGTGCATCAACAATAAAAGCGATGCCTGATTGCTTTATAACTATGTTGCAAATACGTGAATAATAATGACCTTAAAATCCTTAACATATGTATCAAGCCGTAAGATTTTAATCCTAATATATTTG